AACTGTAGATGTTAGTCAAGTTAGTTCCTGGACTCTGAATTCCAGTCCAATGATCTATATTTCTACACACTATCTTAATTACCATAGCTTTGTCATTAGTTTTAATATCAAGAAGTATGAGACCTTCTTTTTCAAGACTGTTTTGGATCTCTCACATTTCATTATGAATTTTAGAATCAACTTGTTAATTTCTACAGAGATTAGCTGGGATTCTGAGCAGTATTTTGCTGGGTTGGAGATCAATTTGTGGAGTATTGTCATGTTATTAACTTAAAGTAAGCCTTGTGGTCCACAAATGTCTTTTTATTTATCTAGATCTTTAAAACTTTCTCCTCAGATTGAGAATATAGCTCAGTGGTAGAGTACTTGCCTAGCAGGCATGAGGCCCAGCACCAAACAAACAAACAAAGAACAAACCCAAATCTTTCTCTCAATAATATTTTGCAATTTTCAGATTGTAAATTTTGCATTTCTTTTGTTAAATGTATTTCAAAGTATTTTATTTTTTGATGGTATTATAAATATAATCATTTCATTTTTAATCATGTTTTAAGTGTATAGAAGTATAATTGATTTCTATATACTAATCTTTTTTTCCTATAACCCTGCTGAGCTCACATATTTGTTGTAAATGTTTTTTAGTTATTTCTTAGGGCTTTCTATACACAAGACCATTTCATCTGTAAATACAAATAGTTTTACTCTTTCTTTCCAATTTTTTCCCTTTTATTTGCCCTTGCTAGAACTTATAGTTTAATGCTGAACAGAAGTGATCACAGAAGCATACTTGTTTCTTTCTTGGTTTCAGGGAGAAAGCATCCAGTCTTCTATCATTAAATAGCTTTCTTACAGATACCATTTATCAAGTTGAGGAAGTTCCTTTCTTCTTAGTTAAGTGTTTTTATTAAGAAAGGATACTGGATTTTATCAAATGCTTTTTTACCCTTATTAAAATGACTGTATAATTTTTGCTTTTTATTGTATTGATACTTTTTTTTACATTAATTGAGTTTTAGACGTAAAGCCAACCTTGGGTTACTAGGTAAATTCCATCTAGTCATGGTGTATAATTCTATTTATATATTATATATTGCTAGATTTAGTTTGTTAGTATTTTGTTAATGATTCTGCATCCATATTCTCCAGAGATATTGTTCTATAGTCTTCTTTCCTTATGAACACATACAGTTTCTTGAATGCCGCTTCAATCTCTTGCCAAGAGACTAGCATAACAAATAAATACCACTTCTACTATGTTACCCCATTCATTTAAGTCTTTGAACTTTGGTTCCCAACTGCCCACAATAAAATATTTACTTTGTAGTATATCTCCCATTATTTCCCAACACAGTTCCTTCACCTATGAAAGTGGACTTTTTCAATATCCTATCAAAAATCCTAATGTTTACAATTTCCATGTCTTTTTCCACATTATTTCTCTAAACCTTAACCTCTTTTTATTAACACCAAATGTAATGTCTATTCCTCTACTGCTACTCTTCCCCAACATTCAATCTTTAATCTCATGAGTTTATTTAAGCTTATAAGAATGATTCAATCAGTTACAGAATTTAAACTAATTTTTGCATAAATGAGTAGTTGTATTTGTGTATATTCTGATCTAATCTCCATTTGTTTACTGTCTATCTTCCCTACCAAATAAATAAGCACTAGAAAATGAGAAAAGACACTTTACTACTTTTAATTGCTATCACCCTAGTGACATACTCTATCTTTCATACATAAGAACTGAATATTTATTGAGTAAATACATCGGCTTCTCTTCTCTACCTAGTCAGTTTCAACTTCTCCATGAAGTTAGGTCACTGATAAACTGGCCTAATGCCTTCTTTTTCTTCCCTGAATTCTTATAATGTTAAGCTTCCAAAGTGGGATATTTAGCACTTTACACAAACTACTCTATATTCCTTGTTATCATTCTAGTAGTCTATGCTTTATTTCCCAAATGATTATAAAATTCTAGAGGGCAGGGACCACAGTGTATTTATCTTTCATATCTCTGTTTGTCTGTAGCCCATAAATGGTAGATATTAAACATTCAATTGACACTATTGAATAAGGATAGGGTAGTCAGTTTAACAGAACCTTAGGAAAACTTACATGCATTTACTGGATTTCTGGAATTGAAGAGTGATAAACATCATTCTAGCTGAAAAAAATTCAAATTTTAATTGTCTTCTTGATATTTTCCATCTACTTTGAGGAAACCAAGATATGTTTTTGCCTGAGCACAGCCTGTTTATTAGGAGAAAATTTTAACAACTTTTAACATTTACAAGGCTTAACTTAACTAAAACTTCAATAGGTGTGAAAGTTGAAATCCTTTCCTTGAAGAGAACAGGGAGTAAATATGTAATCTCTTTCCCAGGTCTAGATTTTAAGAAATTCAAGGCATTACATCATAACCTCTCTTGTCCATTTAAGGCTCTGCTTGAATTCATATTTTATTGGAGTCTGTGTTTATTGCCTGGTTACAAGCAGACTATCCAGGTGCCTTTGAAGGGAAAAAAATACTTAGCATAGCAAAACCACAGAGAGAACACTACATGTATATTATCCAAAATTCCCATCTCCTTTCCTAAATACAGAAACATGTCACTTTTGTTCTGACTTTTCCATTTACATCTACTTCAAGATAGAGAGCACTGAGATAGATTTGAATATCAATAAACTCCTCTAAACCAATCTCCATTTCCAGCTTCTAACCCAACCTCCACCCATATATGCTCTTGGGGTATATACACTGCCTCTATTTCCCTCATCTTACCCAAAATTCTACTTCATAAAACATCTATTAATATACCACCACACATTTAAGAATCCTTTTTCCTCTTCTTCACCCTCAAGTTCCTATCTCTAACTATTTCTAGCAATCCTTAAGTGGGTCAAATGTATCTGCAAGAAGTCTTTGCTTCTAATGAAAAATTTTCCATTTCTAAAATGAAGAACAACTCCAAAGCAAATTACTTTCAGTTATAGTAGTAAGAATACACTAAAAACCTCAACTTCACCACTACTTTCTGGGCATGTTTTTAACCACAGTTCATACAAAAAAAAAAGTCTAATGTGTTTGGCTTATTTGATAACAAACTTTAAAAACATCAAATTAAACCATAGGTATAATAAATAAAATACATATAAATAAATAAATAATATATATATATAAATAAATAAAATATAGGTATAATAAATCATATTTCAATAGTTTTATGTTCTGTTTTTATATTTAAGCACTATCTAAGAATGGTGGGGTATGGGCTGGGGTTGTAGCTCAGTGGTAGAGCACTTGCCTCATATGCATGTCGCAGTGAGTTTGAACCTCAGCACCACATATATAAAATAAAGGTATTGTGTCCATCTACAACTAAAAGTTTAAAAAAAAAATTTAAAAAGAATGGTGGAGTAAAAAATTTAGCAAATTTATTAATTTATATTCATTGAACACAATGGTTTCTTGACACCCTAGATTTTCTGCAACCCTTTATGTCAACTTCAAAAATCATAATTTCTGGGCTGAGGAAATAGCTCAGTTGGTAGAGTGCTTGCCTCACATGCACAAGGTCCTGGGTTCAGTCCCCAGTATCACACACACACACACACACACACACAAAAACAAACAAACAAACAAAAAAAAACTGTAATTTCCTTTCATTTAGCTATGTTGTGCTAAGGGTACAGCAGGTCAAGAGAAGCAACAGTATAGAATGAAGAATGCAGAACAAAGTCTTTAGGAAAAAGGGGTTAAGGGACAGAGGTAACATTTTTATATAAGGTTCAAAGTGTGAAAATTATTAAACATTTCTTTTTTTTAATCCAGGGGCACTTTGCCACAGAGTTACACCCCTAGCTTTTTTCTATTTTTGAGACAATGTCTTGCTAAATTGCTTAAGGCCTCACTAAGTTGGCGAGGCTAGATTTGAATTTGCAATCCTTCTGCCTCAGCCTCCTGAGCTGCTGGAATTACAGGTGTGTACCACCATGCCTGGTTTCTTTCATTCTTTTTCTTTTTTCCCAGTTGTAGATGGAACTTTAATTAATTTATTTATATGTGGTGCCTCGAAATTGAGCCCAGTGCCTCACAAACACTAGGAGAGTGTTCCACCACTGAGCCACAACCCAGCCTGGTTTCTTTCATTCTTTTTTTTTTTTTTTTTTAATATTTGGACACAATATCTTTATTTTGTTTGTTTATTTTTTTATGTGGTGCTGAGGATCAAATCCAGTGCTTCACATGTATGAGGCAAGCACTCTGCCACTGAGCCACAATCCTAGCCCTCTTTCATTCTTAATAAACAGAAATTAGCCTTCTCTGTGACTCATGGTAAGAATAAAAGAAATACCTTTTTTACAGTTTTTTTTCCTGGAATTTTATAGAAGATTTATTCTAAGTACAGATATAAGGAAAGAAACACAAAAGAAAAAGCAAAGAAAATACTTCGAGAAGCATCTAACAAGCGTTGTTCTGTTTTATGCTGACATGCTTTGTGGTAATAATAGACTTCCAAAGAAGACCAGATCAAAATTAAAATTCTAGGCAGGCATTCAACTTCTATCATTGTGTCCTTTCTTCACTGAGTATGGGAAATAAATGACTTACCAATTATTTATTGAGGATATTCCCACAGTACTCTTACAAAGTTCACTTCCAAAAGAAGCCCTATCTCTGTAATGTATCTGAGTCAATGAAAGCTACACTAGGTTTCTTACAACACATTTTAGAAAATTCAGCAGGGTAATAAAATCATGTTTTTCTGAGGTCATTCTACAGCAATTTTGTAAAGTTGCATGACAAATAAGAGGAAAAGAGACTAAACAAATTTCAAAACTAAAGAATATCAATCCAGAATATTTTATGATCATATTGTGAATAAAGTTAAATGCAGAATAATTAGCAGAAAGAATCTAGTTTAATTATAGCTGTTCTATCGTAAAGTTGGCACAAATGCAGTAACTCTTAATTAAAATCAGGTAATAGTTACCTCTGTGGCCTTTTTTGATGGTTCCAGACCAGTCATATTTGCGACTATTAACTGATGTAAGAGTTGAACTTGAGCCACACTTAGGAAGAAGTCCAGGTTTGTGGTTATATTCACTTCTAAGGAATGGCCACATACTAAAATCTCCTGAAGGAGAGGGCAGGGAACAAAGGTTGAATACAGATAAAGAAATAAGATAGGCTTCAGATAATAATTCATCATTTTTATGCTTATTTGACTATTACTACTTTCTAAGTCTAATGGGACTTAAGTTCATATGTTAATGAGGAAAGCAAAAATGATGAGTAGTCACTTGCCATAGTTTAATGGATTAATTTTAAAATCATTTATATAGGTTTACTATATGCCAGGCCTGGGTCATTAAAAAGAATTTTTCACCTTTTCATATCCATTTGACTTGTTCATACTTCAAAACTTCTATCATTGTTTTAATATATAAGAAACAATGTAGTTCTAAAGCAGGATCTTGTACATCATTTCAAATCAACAAGTATTTACTGAAATTCTTCTAAGAACAGTCACTATAGTAGAATACTAGGATTATCACAAAAAATAAAGTTGTTCTTAAAGGACAACTTGCTCATGTGGAGGTTATAATCTAAGGGAGCAGACAGATATAAATAGGCAACTCTAGGTAGGCAATTTTAAGCAAACACTATGGTGTAAGTATTCTCCACAAGAGAATTCAAAATGTTTGTAATAGCATATGGTACTGAAGCCAAAGATAGCTAGACTAATTAATTTTACTTCTTAAAACTGTTAAACTCTTAGCAGCATTAGTTACTCATCCACTATTTAATGTTGCTGTTCTGTATAACTTGAACATTTATCGCTGAAAAACCTATTAGGAAAACAACAAAAGAGACATCCAGAAGCTTCAATTAATAGTTAAGCGAAAGTCCTGCCTCCTGTCATGAAGTCCATGTGGACAACGTTAAATGCTTGGGAATGTCCAACATGCCTTCTCCTTGTTAGCATGGATTTGAAAGGACACTATGGCTGTCCAAATACAACTGGAAAGCTTAGAATAGTTTTTAATAAAGCCATAAAGAATAGCATATCTGACATGATTATCCTTTTTTTTTTTTTGGTTAAACAAACTTTTTCTCCACAAATTTCCTGTATTCTCTCATTATACTTGGAATTCTTATTTTAGTCATGATGAAAAAAAGTACATTGGCTCAGAGGTTTTCTTTTTATTTTTTAATTGTCATTGTAACATTTCCCAGAAAGATGAAACGTTGTCCTAAAAATATGTTAGTTCTATTAGTAGAATATCATCCTGTGAAAATAAGCATCCTGTAATTGTAGGTTAAATGGTATAAATGCAATGGTAGAATCATTAGCTAACACCATAAAAATAAGTTCTGTTTTTACTTCTTTTATAACTATCATCTTCTGATCAGTTTGATCTTTAAAATAGTTGTACATGAGGAAACTGAGGAACTGGGAATTTAAATGAATAGCTGCAGATGACATCTTTTAACATGAAGCTGAGCTTGGACTAGAACTAGGTTTTCTGCTCTTCAACTTTGTGCCTATTTCACTTGGGAATGAGAAACTTTCTAATAATGCCTTCAAGTTAGAAGATAAGTTAATTAACATGCAATGGTATTTTATTTACAGTTTGACACATATGTAACATGGAATTCTCAGTATATAGATAGTTAGAAAGATGCTATAGAAGTTAACAGTATACAAGTTAGAGCTAGACCAACTGAGTTCATACCTTGTTATGCTTTCTACTTCTTGTGAAATTTTGCAAATTGGACACCCTCTTAAAACCTCAGTTTCCTCATCTATAAAATTCAGGTAGTAGGAGTAGATTATTAGCTACATTATCATGAGGATTAAATGAGTTATTACAAGGATAGCAATAACTGTATAGCATTAGGAAGTGCTTAGTAAATATTAGCTATGATGTTAAATCTTATTATTAATAAGCTAGTTTGATGTCACATGGGATGAAACTCGAAAATTCAAAACATATCAAGAGGATTTGCTCTATTATTTAGACTAAAATGACATCTATATTATGTCCTACCTCTGTATGTAGATTTTCTGGAGAACTTATTTTGGTGAAAATTATGGCAGGTGCTCCAGTTATTCGTACAGAAAAGTCAGTCAAAATGGGGGTCAAAATTGCTCTCCTTTCTTGATGTCGCCTTATGCTAAAAGATAAAGTAAAAAATTATTAGTTCACTTTTTTCAAGGATAATTTTCATTAAGAATTTAAACTATGAAAATAGATGACAAAATTATATTACTATTCTGAGAGTACTGCATATTTTATAGACACAGTTTTTTAATGCAATACCACAAAGACCCGTGAAAGATAGGAAAAATCTTCACTGAAAAAAAATCAGATATAATTAAGGCATTTCACATTAGTATCATCTTAAGACCATTTTTCTTATAAATAGATGCATATCATTGTTATCATCAAATAATTTTACTATTTTTGGAATTTTTTTAAAACCAGGAATTGAACCTAGGGGCACTTAACCACTGAGACACATGCCTAACACTTTTTTTATATTTTATTTAGAGACACAGTTTAAGCTGCTGAGGCTGACTCTGAACTCACAATCCTCCAGTTTCAGCCTCCTGAGCCACTGGAATTAGAGGCATGTGCCACTGCTCCCAGCTGAAATAATTTTTGATTTCCTCCTTTTAATATTTCTGACCTTCCATTTGACAACTGCCATCTTTTCCAATCTCATAGGCTCATGAGCACATCCTCTTAATCTTTGAACTCCTTTTGTTAAGCTCTAAGAACCATCTTACTTAATGAATTACTGCAGCCTTTAAAGTCCATTTAATGGCTTTTGTGTCTAAAACCAAATGTTTTCTCAAAACAACTCTGCATATAAAGTAAAAATCAGTAATAGACCCACATCACCAATGAGAAAATGAAGTTCTATACTAAAGTTATCCAATAGGAACAAAGGCTCCAGAACTGGCTTGGAAGGCAAGCTGATGTCAGACAACACACATTCTTACCTCTGATTAGTTATATAGCACAATATTTCTACTTAGCATTGAAAATTGCTAAGAATTTCAAAGGAAGCACTGATTGCATGGTAGAAGATGAAACTGGAAAACAATGCTGAGAAACCAAATTTCATGCTGTTACCTTCAAGACCATTTTTTATATCCTTAATTTTCATTCTGAAATAATATACTATGTTTATGTTTTATTGAAAGTCATACCTTAAAATTTCCTTTGAACCATATTAATATAATATTCTTTATAAAAGTTTCTTATCATTTCCTTATATTATAAAGTGATAAAGTTGAAATCAAATAATTGACATGTTATCTCATGAAAAAACATAGATAAAATCCAAGTTTATGCATATCTTCCCCCCCACCCCCTGCCAAATCAGAGGAGCCTAGAGAGTACTAACATCTTTTGTTAAATGTGCAACAGGCAGAGCTTTATGTGATGTCTGCCAAAAAAGTAAATTGGATCATCTGGTTCTGTGACACATAAGTATTAGATTTCAAGAAAGTCAATTTTAAAGAATTAAGAGATCTGGTAAGTAGAGAGTAACAGGAAGAAGTATTAAAATATGTGACTACAGAGGAAGGGTTTAGATCCTGAGAGACACTATAATTATAGCCTAATAGCTCAAATTCCATAAAATGACCAATGTGAGAAACATGTAACATCTGATGTGCTCTCATAGGGGAGTGCTAAAATATATGATGGATTAAAAATACCTTAAAATGGAAAAGATGGCAGGGAACCAAATAAAAACAAATGTTAACTAAAGTACTGATGGAAACAAAAAGTACTTGTCCACACCACATATTTTTTTATTGTTGTGTGATGAATTAAATCAGTAAAAAAGCATGAGACATATGATTATAGAATAAAATTTAAATCAAGTCATGGGTATTAGAAACAAAAAGTTAAATTCTGAAATATTACAGTTCAAAATTTAAAAGAAAGAACTAAAACCTAAAGTATTAATGAGGTTGTTTGTGGAGGACCTCAGCACTCTCAGTAAACCAAGTAAATACATTTTAATAGCTATTTTGAGACAAGGCAAGAGTTTTGAAATGAACTGGTTACCTAGAACTTGGGTACCTGAAGAGCTAAGAAAATATTAATTAACCTATCTGAAAAAGGAGCAAGGGAATTTGCCTGTTTTGCCAAGAGAACTTGTTGAAAACAAAACATAACAAAACAACAAAAAATTATGTATATAAAATACATAAACAAAAACAAAAAAACCATCTATCTTCCTGGAAAATAAAAAATGGGAAATTCCCCATGTGTGTTGAGTAGTTTTAATTTACACTACCTATATGGTCCTGGAATACTCTTTTGGAGTTATTTACATAAAAGGGTCATCAGATCATTTATAATGCTATAGCATCTGTCCCAAATAGACCAAAATCTCTTTACAAAAACATGTCCTAGGCTGGGATTGTGGCTCAGTGGCATAGCACATGCCTTGCAAGTGTAAGGCACTGGGTTAAATTCTCAGTACCACGTAGAAATAAATAAATAAAATGAAGGTATTGTGTCCATCTAGAACTAAAAATATATTTAAAAAAAATCATATCCTCAATGAAAACAGAATTCTCCAGGACAAAGACCACTGAATATAAGCTTCTAATCACAGATTATTTTATATGCCAAAAAATCTTTATTAGCAAAAGAATTAGATCTCATTTTCAAATGTACTGCCAAGAACTTTTGATAAGAAAATTAGTTTATATGGATAATAAAATATACTTGTTTAAAATTTTAAATAAGGAATGAAGTAAAAAGAAAAAAAGCTACAAAAATAACTAAATATAATTTGCAGAAATGAAAATTGTTGCTATTAAAATTAAAATGCATATTAGTTGAGATAAATGGCATTTTAGATATAGCTTAAGAAAGTGTAAACTAAATAGAACTAGTAATACTTCAGGAATATACTATAAAGAATTCTTTTTGTTTTTTCTTCTTAATTATCACATAATAATTATAATATAATAATTATATTAGTTTTAAATAATTTAATAATTTAAAAAATTAAGAGAGAAGGAGAGAGAAGTATTTCATATTTAATTAGCATTACAAAATGAGAACACAGAAAGAGAAAAAGGAACAAAGGCTAAAAGCTTTTTTATAAATGATGAAATGTAAGAATCCATAGATTGAGAAAAACACAATTATTCATGGGTTCATGAAACAGTTTATCAACCATGATAACATAAGGTATTTAAACTCACCTATATAGAAAAAAGTTTACCTACAGTATGCTATGGCACATGGTGTTAGGAAAGTTGTGGAAGAAATATTTCTCTGATTCACTCTAATATAACAATGATTTATATTGTCCACAGAAACAACAACAAAAAAGACACATTTATTTGTAGCTATCATCTAATATAGAGGATTGTATCCACAGAAACTAAACTCTTGTTAAAAAATTAACAAAACATTGACTCTCATAGGTTCTAATCAAATAACAGGAAAACGGTCCTGTGTTAACAAAAGCTTTTCAGTTAAGTTTCGGAAGGTGTATTTTGTAAGCAAAGGAAAGTATTGTTTTCCATAACTATTATTAAGCAAGAATGCTACAGGTGTATGCCACATGCAGTGATGAAAACATATTCAGAAAGACTGGCCATTTTTCCTGGGCTCAAGGTACTCTAAAATTCTGCCCAACTACCACACATTTGGTGTGTCTGTGTGCAAAATAACAAAGAAATTTAATGATACTTCAAATATTGCATATTATGAAGTAGGAAAAATGGTATCAAAGTTTTCCAAAGTATTCTACTAAAACAATAGAATGAAAAATGGTGATGACCTACTTGTGCGGCCATGCTAAAACAAAATAATTTCCTGCCATGGTATTAGAGCTGAGCTCCAAAGAGAAGTAGTAAAGCAGAAGATACTTAAGTCTTGTGATGATTACCACTGATAATCAATGAATTACAAAGGATTATTTTTAAATATGAAAAACCGTAATATTCACAAACATTTATTTTAAACCATCAGGTATCTGAAAACCTATTTGTTACATAAACCTTTTCCTAAAGATTCCTCTTATTTTGAGATTAATGAGAGTCACTAGGATAAATAATTTGAATTGTATAGTAACTTTGAACATGAAGTATTTACTTACATGTTTAAGCCTACTTAAGTGTTTTTTCAAGAGGAACACTATCCAAAGACTTCCTAATGCAATTAAAATAAAAGTCAAACTCCCTTTGACCACTCCATTTGTAATTTAGCTCTTCTCTCCCTAAAATGTGACTTCTATTGCTTTTTTCATCCTAGCCAAGCATGATCCATAAATGTACTAAAGTTGTTCCTACTCAAGGATCTTTGCTCTCCTGGAACATCTAAAGTAGAAATACTGCAGGGGAATTTGCATGTACAGCTCTTTCTTTTCATTCAGGTATTAAAAGAGGCCTTCCCTGAGCCCCAATCTAAGGAAATTTCCCAGTCAACTCTTGTCACATTATACCAATATATTATTTTCATAGAATTTATCTTTCTCTGAAATTGAGAAACATGAACTTGAGTATTCACTATGATGCCAGGGTCTTTGCTAGTGCTGGGAGAAATGGCAAAAATGGATACATAGTGCTGAATCTCATGGAGCTCAGTTTAACAGGAAAGATAACTAAGCAAAATAATCATAAAGTATAAAAAATATAATAAGGGTGGTATGGGAAGACTCAGTAAATGACCTAATCTTTTACCTTAAGGTTGTACACATACAAAACATCTTATGAACAATGGTATAATGACTATAGGTTGTAATGAGAATTATTTTAAAATATATTTAAATAAAATGCCAATATAAATTTACTTTGGCAAAATCAAATAAAATTAAAAATGAATATTCCAAAAATATGCCAAAACAAAACAAAAATAACAAACCACCAAAACCATAAAACACCAACTCTAAAAACTCATCCTCAAAAACAGGACAAAACCCAACAAATAATAAATAAAAAACTATGGTTAATGTAACTGTGATGATAACAAGTGCTAGATTTATTACAACCTCTATATGATAGTTTTATGAGTATGCCTGAATTGAAATATTAACATAACTCAATTTTACTGAGATGTCTAATGAATAATACCTCTGGTTATTCCCTCCAGTTGTTTATATTATAGCTAGAAACTCCTGCATCTAATTTTACTTGATAGAACTGATAAAGAAAACCTTCAATATAAGCTTCACTGAGGAGGGAGAGACTAGAGGAAGTGCTAAATTTGTTAGGAAGAGAATATTATAGGTTGTACCTTGGAAAAAAGTAGAAATTTGCCAAGAGATGGAGGGTCAAGAGATTTCTTTTATTTCATTATAAGGCTTTTAATAACATATATTGATGTACCAGGGACACTCGTAAAATTACACGTAATAATAGATATTTGTTGTACATATGCTTTTAGGTACACTCTTGATATTATTTTCTTTGGCTACTTCTATTAAAAACAAAATGTTGCAGGAGAGAAATTAGTTATTTGAGGATTTGGTTAATTGAGTTTTAATGACTCAGGCATCTACTTGTCTCTATAACGATTACCATGCTGGAGCTGAAAGATTTCATAATAACTGAAGAATGGGCTGGGGTTGAGGGCACTTGCCTAGTATGTGTGAGGCACTGTGTGAGGCACTGGGTTTGATTCTCAACACTACATATAAATAAATAAAATACAGATCCATTGACAACTAAAAAAAATTAAAACAAATTTTAAAAAGTATTAAAAATAAGTGAAGTGGTTTTAAAAATTTTATGGTTCAGTATATTACTATGATAATTATATTTGATATAAAGATTTTTTTCTTATTTTTTGAGTACCTACAGTCTGTCAGTCACTATGCAAAGATATAAGGAAGAATGAGACCAGACAAGACAGGATCTCTTTCCATTTACTTCTCTGACATTCTTCAGATTGCAACAGAACACCTTCAATCAAGATGGAAGGAAGCAGATACCTGCTGGTTGCTGGAAGTCAAAACTGTTTGCTTCTTTTTGCTGTTATCAGGATTACTTTTTCCTTCACTGTTAGTCCCTAGGTTCTTTAAACAGGAAGGGAATCTCATTCTTTCATGGAAAGTCATGGAAAGGTTTAAGCAAAGCATTATAAAATTTTATAATGTTTAGGCCATTCTAAGCATTAGCCTATGAAATATGAGAATTATACTAAGTTCTATAATTTCATTAAGTGTTAGGCTTGATAAACTAGCAAATTAATATAAGAAAAGGGATGGTTTTCAGGTTAAAGATTTAAAACAAAGAAAACTGCTTTCATTGCACATTCCATTTAGGATTTCAGGTGAATTCTGGAAAAATCTCATATTTGTTTAATTACAAATCAAAATATACAAAGGCTTCTGTCAGGTGTGAACACTTTCAAAAACTAAAGAGATCTAAAGTCACACCAAATATTCACAATCTCTCAGAAATAAGGTTAGTAGTAACATGGTTCTGGGATTTTAATGTCAACACTTAGCAACAGTTACCCACATTTAATGTTATGGTGACTATGACATATAGGACTGATTGGGGGAATCTGTCATATTCAAATTCTGCTTGATAAGCAAACATAGAAACAACAATCTTAAAAGAAATCTGTTAGGGGGAACAGCCCACAGAATATCACATGAATTTGAAACATTTGTATCAAAATATTTAAGTGAACATATATTTATCTGGTAATAAAGTTTAAAAGATAAAATTTCTAAGGATATAAACATAATCAGTGATAGGAAGAAATAGAAAAATAGTTGTTAAAAGGAAATTTTTTTTTAGTTTTTATATAACAGCAGAATGCATTACAATTCTTATTACATATATAGAGTTCAGTTTTTCTTATCTCTGGTTGTATACATAGTATACTCACACCAATTCGTGTCCTCATATGTGTACTTTGTATAATAATGATCTTCACATTCAACCATCATTAATTACCCCATGCCCCCTCCTTTTCCTTCCTACTCCTCTGCCCTATGTAGAGTTTGTCTATTCCTCCCATGCTCCCCCCTCCCTATCCCACTATGAATCAGCTTCCTTATTTCAGAGAAAACATTCGGCATTTGGTTTTTTGGGATTGGCTAACTTCACTTAGCATTATCTTCTCTAACTCCATTCATTTTCCTGCAAATGTTATGATTTGGAAAACTTTTTTAAAAAAAGATTAGCTAAGAATGAACTGTAGCATAAACTTATGGGGGCAAAGCCTAAGCAAATAAGGAAACTGAGTAAGGAAACCAGGGTTATAGACTTAGTTCTATAACTGACACCGAACAAGCCAAGGATTATCATTAAACTTAGTATTCTGTAGTGCTTTTGTTGTATAACAACTTGTGAAGGATGGCTCAGAGTTTTAAGTTTGTTAAGAGAAATCTGCACAAGGTGTGGAAGGTGTAAGGAAACAGTAGTAACCAATGTTCTATGAAGATCATCATGGTTTAAATGCAGTGAAAGGTCAATGCAGAGGTGTTGGAAGATACTAGCTTATCCTCACTTTCCTTGGCTCTGTGTGATCATGTCTTCCTCCTGACTTAACTTCAGGCCCAAACCCAGATGCAGAGGCCACTACTTCCCACTAATTTCTCTATCAGTCTCCTCATGGTCCCACTCTAACAGCGAGATGCACCTAGTTTCCCAGGTTCTTTTGAAAGCTGCAATGATTTTATCCAGATCAAGGACTTCGAGAGGCTTTCGTTGTGACTTTTCTCTGATCCTCTAAGTCCCTCTTTTAGATCCTTACTTCCCAGCTTCTTCCCCAATTGGGTAATATTTTATTCCTAAAATAAATTACTTATTATAATCCTCATAGTGCTCTGCTGTCTGGTTGAATCCTTTCAGCTTTGGAAAATTAAGATTTGGGAAGAGGATATCTATAAATTTTAGAATTTAATAATTCTCTATGCTTAATTTTTATTCCCTTGTTCCCAACATAACACACAGAAACCCATCATAATCAAAGAAAAAAATTGCATAACATACTCAGAAGAAGAGAATGAAAATCATTAAAAAAGACTACTATTTGGTACTGGTCAGGCGAGGGAGTAAATTATTCTTTACTTTGTATCTCTGTATCTTTTGAATTTTACCTAAAATACCTATTAAAAACAAATAGAATTATATTAAGGCCCTGTTTATACTTTTGTTGAGATTATGCATCAGAACTGGGCTCTATTAGATCTAAAATTTCCTGTCTTCATCTGAATAAATATCTCTCAGAAACATTTATACTCAGTGACCTGACTTGTCATGTCAGTTAATCATCCAACCATTCAAATTTTCACTGATCCACTCAAATCTTTATTTTCTATTATGTGACCAGTATGATGTTTTGTGCTTCAGTTTCTTTATGTATACTTAGGGAAAAAAATTTTTATAACTTTATTGTAAAAATTAAGTTAAACAAGGTAAAGTGATAAATATTATATAACCCTTTATGAATACCATTATGATGATGATGATGATGACGACGACGATGACGACGACATGGAGAAAAATATAGTTTTGGTATTAAAGGAATAGAACTAAAGCAATCATCATTGTAAAAGGAGTATGGTAAAGACTACACAAGATGATTTAAAGAAATCTAATTTTTTTTTAAGTTGTAGATGGATACAATACCTTTATCTTATTTATTTATTTTTATGTGGTACTAAGGATCAAATCCTGTGCCTCCCATGTGCTAGGTAAGTGCTTTACCACCGAGCTACAACCCCAGCCCCAAGAAATCTAATCTTATAAGAGAATTCATGAAAAATTAACTTTATTACAATCATAAATACCTCAGTTTTACAATATAAAGTTAAGTTTTAATGCCTAGTATCTTCTTTCTAGCAAATAATCTTACCTCTCTCTCTGATAAGAACCATGAACAGCTTGGGTAAGATGGCAGTGGCTCTCTACATATCTTAATAGCTTACATTCAGGACTAATTGTTTAAAAAATGTTCTCTGTGAATATAGCTTTTAGTTAAAGACAATGGAAACCCAGAGCTAGGAATTATTGCTGTTCCTTCTTCTCTAACTTGAACATAGCGTTATAAAGCATTTGTTACTGTTTTCCTTTTATTATTTTAAGTAGAAAGAAGAGGCTAAAAAATAAAAGAATTGACCCTAAACCCAAATGGATTTCAAGAAATAATGTGATTGTATCCTTTAGAATAAAGTGAATCTTTTCATCAAATAGCAAGGTTAAACAAACAAACAAACAACTCTAATTTGTAACAATGTAACTGGTAAAATTAGCAGGTTTCCCAGCAAAACCATCAGCTAAATTACAAAATTTATTTTGTTTGTAAAGAAAAGCAGAAGCACTACCAAACACTTAGGTTGGGCATGCTAAAGATCACTAACCCTACTGGCAATATCAGTAATATTTCTCAATCATTTCGTACCTGCTGGCCATATTCCACTCAAGGGCTGGATTTTGAGAATTCCTTTCACTCTCTGTAAGCACCCCTCCTGTTCCACTTTCCTTCTCTGGTTTTAGTTGGTCCCACTGTGCAGTACCAATATTGATGGACTGCAGGTCTATTTGGTATTGTCTATCTTCAATTTCAGATCCAGGATCTCGAAGAATTCCTAAGTTCAAGGCTCTTCTGTAAAGTAAGTGGAAAAAAGTAACAGATGTAATAAATATCTACATTTATTTTATTTACTAAATAGTACCATAAAACTTTTTTGTATTACTGATTAATAAACTGTTAACCACATTTATGAGATAGTTAATAGAAAATTAACATATTGTGACATCAAAAATTTATCACTTGCAATCATCTATCCTATAATAATTTCTTATGTTTCCCAGCACAATACCCTTTTGTTATGTGCTTTCATATACATGATTTCAATTACAGAGATGCTTTCACATTTTGTTATATCCACCTTAACAAAGAGTAAACAAAATTCAGAGGTTCAAAGACAGCAGAGTTACAAATTTACTCAAAATACTTTCTGATGATAATCATTTACTATTCTAAGAACTTTGATATCTTGTTAGGAAAGGTGATAGTCAGCACTTGGGGTTGAGTCTGAAATATAGTATGAAAATGATTTTAGTTTGGAGAGGCTTATCTCAAGTAGGTAGTGCTGCCAAACACAAAGGAAAAGGTAAAAGCAAATTTTCTTTGGGCAAATTCAATTTCAACTCAAATAATTTTCCCAGTTTAGGTTTCAAGTAAAATGAGACATTCACATACAAAATTCACAAGTCACACATGATAATAAGGGACCCTGAGTGACACACAGTAGCAAAAGGGTAGAGAAGATATATCCTCAAAAACTTCAAAAGATACTGTAGTGTACTAGCATACATAAAATATGAAACAATTATTTAAAAAGTAAAAAAGCATCCTCAGAATAAGCAAGGAGCTGGCTGCGGTGACTCACAGCTGGTTTCGATGACTCACACCTGTAAATCCCAGAGGCTTGGGACAGGCTGGGGAAGGCTGAGACAGGAGGATCAAGAGTTCAAAGCCAGCTTTCACAACTTAGTGAGGTGCTAAGCAACTCAGTGAGATCCTGTCTCTACATAAAATACAAAATAGGCTTTTTTTTAAAAAATATCTTTATTTTATTTGTATGTGGTGCTAAGAATCGAACCCAGTGCCTCACGCATGCCAGGAGAGCGCGCTATGAAATAGGACCAGGGGTGGGTTCAGTGGTTGAGTGCCCCTGAGTTCAATCCCCGTACCAAAAAATAAAAAATAAAAATAAAGAAAATAAGGCAGGAATAAGGCTTTTGTTAGAACTATGTAGATCCACAAAGAACAGAATTACTACAATTTAAAATTCAAAACAGACTGAACCCAAAAGAAGTGATAGCAAGTTGAAACAAAGATCCAAAGACAAGTTACAATACAATTCAAAGAGACAAAGAAATGTTGTAGCTAGGTTCAAAGTATATATAGGAGAGAGCAATAAAGTCTAAAAAGTTCCTGATTGGAGTTTGAGGGAAATAATAGAGAATGGGATAGAGGCATTATTTGAAGAAATACTGTTAGAGAATGCACAATTGTTGAAAAATGCCAAATCTCAGATCTAGATAACTCAATAAATCCCAAGAAGTAATGATAAGGAAGAAACTGGCAAACATATGGATAAATCTAAATAAATATCATCTTTAAATCAATAATATTAATGTGTAAACTCAAAGAAGAAAGGGCAAAAATAAAACACTGAACAATAATAATATACAAATTAGGGGATCATGTTAAGTAGTTTTCTAAGGTTGTTGTATAGTTGTGGAGAAAGGAAAAGATACTGATTTAATTTTAGATTTTTGTTAACTTTGATACATGCTAAAATAGCTATAAAACCTCTAAAATAATAAACATGGATAACTTCCAAATAAAGTAAAAATTAGAATGTAAGAAAAAAATGAAAAGTTTTGTTTGAAAATTTAAAAACACATTTTCAAATTCATCACTTATTGGTCAAAAATAATAATGAAAATTAAGTAATAAATAGCAAAATGTTATGCATTAAACGTGATGAGATACAGTTATAGGGGCACTTTGAAGAAGATTTATCATCTAAAATACTTGTTTAGGTGCTAAGAGCCAAGTATATGATGCATGGAATTTTTGGTCGAAAGGTGACGCCAGCTAGCCATTGAGATGATATGATTATGTTAAGATTTGCATTCATATGGATATTGGACTCCTGCTGTTCGCCTAGGCCGGCTATGGGACTCCTGGAGAGTTCCCATTGGTTGGGGAAGTACAGTAGGAGGGAGTTCCGGGGGAGGGGCTCTCTCTGCGGGTCAGGGAGGAGGCCGCGTGGGTGGATCGAAAATCTTCCCGGGCGCCTACCGGACATTGGCGGCAGTTTCAAAAAATAATAAAGTTTGTTCCTGCTTGAGTGGCTTGTGATTTTGTGCCCAGCCAGACTGCGGCATTTAGGAAAGTAGAAAGACTTAAAATTAGTAAGATAAATATAAAAAAGGCAACATAAGCAAAAAAAGAGGGAAGAAAATAAAAGTAGAAATTAACGAAATAAAAAAGAGATCATGAACAAGACTAAAAATAGACAAATCTCCAGCACTGAGGGGGGAAAAGAGATAAAAAGGCTAAATAAACTGTATTTACAATAAAAAAGGAAACATAACTATGATGCTACAGAAATTAAACAGATAATAGGATGATACTAAGAAGATTTATAGAGACAAAGATTTTGTAACTTATTGTGGAAAAAAATCTCTCCTGATCATCACTGTCCCTGGAATATATTTCTTCCTTTTTCACTGTGGGATTAATATAAAGGTTATCTACTCATTTCTTCCATCACATTTCTTTGTTTCATACAGTTCTTTTTCTCTATGAAACCACACTATTTTAAAACCCTGACAGAACAAAACTGCTGGTAATATAGTAAGTGGTGGAAAGTAACATAGTACTGTTTGTCCTATTGTTGGTTTAGTGAGGACTATCAAAATTATCTTCCTCAAGGGTTCTTCCTGGAATGAGCTAATTTGCATTTTATCTTTGAATGCAAAGTTACTGAGCACTCTCTTTAAAGTTTTGTGATAGGCCTTAGGGACACTAGGGTCCTTACCCTCACAAAGTTTACAGTCTAGTGGGAAGAAGCAACTATAAAGCAGACAACAGTTTACAAGGTTGAATAGAGAATGCAATTAGAAAACCTGACCCAGACTTGGGAAGGCCAAGAAGGAGAAATGCAATGTTTAAAGGATTTCTGAAAAACTCTATCTTCTCATTTCATAAATAAACTGTATTTGAATAAAGTATCTCAAGTAGGGGAATCAACAAATTCAAAGGCATGACAGTAGCTCATCCCAAAACCTTGAAAAGACTCTGAATGGGTAGCATGGACAGCTGCAGAGGAAGAAGTAATGAAAGGCAATGGGGACTTCAAGCCAAAGAAAAACCCATCCTTAGAGTTCAAGAAACTCTACAATGTTTAGGAGACCTGTACTAGGCCCAACCTTTGGGAATGAAGAAAGGTGGCCCAAAAGTTGGAGTTGCCTTGCAAATGGGCCATTTCACTCCTACCAAACAAGATACAGAAATTATGTAGTACTGCAGTATAGTAGTTCAGAGCAAACAGAAACTTGGGTTTCCGTCTTAATTATGAAAATTAAGTGAGAAAATATATAAATATATAATATATAAATTTTCACATCATAAAAACTTCAATAAGCATTAGGACACAATCATCCTTCTTGGTTTCTCAGTCTCAGAATACAAGGTTAAATAACAGTGAAATGACTAGAAAGTGATAGGAAGAGGAACTCAGCTGAATAAAGTGCATTTTAGTATTTGCCAAAACATAAAAAAGCAGAGCAGAGCAACCAATGACCCTGAATTTAATAGGCCAAACTCAATAAATTTTACCCACATTTTCTAATTGGATTTATTTCATTAGCCTAAAAAGATTGTAATAGCATGCTGGTTAGTACTTTCTAGGCCAAGTAAAAGTTTACTGTGGAAGATTTGGGCCAATTAAAAATATACTTGCATCTTTAAAAAAACATCCTTTCTTCAATAATTTCTTAGCCTCCTGAGATATCAAAATCAGAAAATATCAATATTTCCTCTGCAGCTGCCTATTATGTAAAATTTAAATTTATCTCATAAATTTAAAAACATAAGCCATTTAGCTTGTTAGTTTTTGTTACTATTTAGATTATAAAGAGTTAGCTAACATATACACATTTCATAAGTTTGGTTTGATTTTTCCCTAATAAAAATAAATGTAGAACAGCTTTTTTTCAGAATTAGATAATTAAAATCCAACTTTTCTTTCTTAGTACATGATCCTCATGATTTATTTTCAATTCATTATAGTTTGATATATACTAGCAAGACACTGATTTACTTCATTTTCTGGAAACTAATTAAGGATTTGTTTTCAACTTGAAATAGTCACTAATTTTAAATCTTTTAAAGTATAAGCTATGCCCTTGTTTTGTTTTATGTACAAGTAAAACTGAGACCAGTTATTATTATATAGAATATTCAAAACAGTTTTCTTTTCCAATACTAAATTAAGAAAACATACTCAAAATATTTTCAAATGCTATGCATTAAATTTTATTAAGCACTATTACAACAAGATGTCTTTTTATTTACTTTTAATTCATAGTAATTGTTCAAATTAATGGGTTTCACTGTAATGTTTTCATGTGGGCATACAGCTAGATGTCTTCTGAAAGAAATATTTCATATTTTATGGTACATTAGAATTTTTAAAAGGTATAAATAAAATTATGTTAACAGAAGATTAAAAAATATTTTTATTTTCTAATGATCAGAAATTGTCTTATAACTTTACAACTTTTAAATGCTTTTTTCCCTAAGTAAAGGAGTGGTGGGAATGAAAAACTATCTGATTGCAAATACCAAAATTGAAGTAAATTTTTTTCAAGAGAGCTTTGATTTAGTGTATTAGATTGTCATAGCACAAAAAAACAATTGCAGAATCATTAAAGAATTCTAATAGACTGACATTTTAGTAGGGAACTAATCAGAGGAAAAGAACTGTGAGGGATGCCTAATGTTAGCAATGTTTGCCTTAAAAAGAAAAACATATCTTAAAATAAAATGCCTTAAATTATTGTTTAATTTCCTAATTAAAT